TAGGTTGTCCGTTATAGACTACACGCTGTGTGTTGGGACCCCGAAACACTGTTCCTGCGGTTTTCTCATTCTTTGGCTCTGACAACGATTCGTGCTTGGTGTTCGGTTAAAAGTTATAGGTCAGGATGGGCAAAAATCAATGATCATGCAACATGTTTCAAATTGCTGTCAAGACTCATTAGTACCAGTGCTAAAATATTTCAAAGCAATTCGACTTTTTGAAAAAAATTCTAATACTGTATAATTGCTCCGTCTATTTCAGGTGTTGTTGCTGCTGCTGTTGTTGTATGGGAAGAAAACGGCGTTCCGTTGAATTTGTGCGCAGTCACCGTTCGCAGCTGCAACATTTCCTGCACTTATCTTCCACGTGATTAGTGCTCACACTTTGCACGTTTATAATGTTACTGGGAGCTCTTATTCCACCGGTTTCAATTTAGCCGTTGTTCAGAACATGTGTTTAAGGCTGTATTAGTGTAATTATCACTGTCTTTCTTACTATTATGCATTTATAGCTGCATTGTAGAAGCGGACATGGAGAAAGCGTAATTACTTCTTGACCATTAAGGAGTTAAGCTTGTCCAGTAGCCCAACTGAGTCAAGTATTCTTAAATTCCCGAACTAAATTCACGAGCTGAATTCAGCAAAAAAAGCCACAAATTTGAATAATTCCTCAATTTAGACCACATATTTCGGGCATATCGCCAAACCACATTTTTCCCGTGCAGACTTGCGTTACTGCCCCTATAATTCTATGGGCCGCATGCAAAGAAAGCACTTGGCTCATGTGTATCCTGTCTTTGAACTCCATAAAAACGTCAACCGAAGCGCTGCCATTAGTTTTTAATAACACTTTTTCACAGCTGATTGTAAACTTGTAATAAAGCGAAAGGTGAATGGGTCTTATTTGTCACGTAATGGATCAGGAAGATTGATGAAAACAGCCGAGCGTTTCATACAAATTAGGTTTTATGCGTTTCTACATGTGTGCAAATGAAAAAACACATATTGTGACGACCCATGATGTGTGTGTATGTGCATGTTTGTGTATCTGTGTGTATGTATGCGTTTGTGTGCTGTGTATGGGTGTGTGTTTGCTTGTGATCGGGTGTATGTGTCACGTGTGCTTGTTTGTGTGTGTGTGTGTGTGTGTGTATGTGTGTGCATTTATGTGCGTTTGTGTGGATGGGTGTGTGTGTGTGTGTTGGTGCGTGTATCTGCCTATGTGTTTCTGCGTCTGCCTGCATGTATTTGGGTGTGTTTGTTGTTTGTGCGTGTTTGTATGGGTTTGTATTGTTTGTATTTGCGTAGTGCTTGCATGTGTGATTGTGTATGTTTGTGGGGGGTTTTTGTGTGTTTGGGCGTGTTTGCACGCATTTGTTTGTGGATGTGTTTTTGTGTGTTTGTTTGTGTGTGCTTGTGGGTTAGTTTGAGCTGAATTTGAAATCTTGACGTTCTGTACGGACAGGGAGTATCGTCTCAAAGTTACAGTCTCTCAGCTTCTCTGTTTCTCGAGTTAGCGGTTTTCTCGTCAAAACTTTTATGTGTTCGCACGCCGGACTCAGACGTGCGTAAAGGGGCGGCAATCGGCTGGGGAACCTATTGGCAAATTTTAGCGTTGGAGCTTGCTTGGCTGCCGAGTTGAAATACCCGGACAGGCGCACACGTACACACACACACACACACACACACACACACACACACAAACAAACACAAACACACACAAACACATGAACACTGTGGGTCGTCACAACATGCATTTTTCCGTTTGCACACATGGAATAATTGGCCAAACCACGGGCTGCCCGTGTAAAGATGCACTTTTGCATAGCTCCTCGCAGATTCTTGCCGCTGTCGGCACTGGTTTTTCCGACAGATGCTTTTAGCTAAAAGAATTTCAGAATGGCCGCCAAAACTGTCAGAAAGCATCCCTTCAAAACCCCAGCCTTCTAGCTTCTCACGTTCTCGAGTTAGCAACTTATCCGGGTGAAAGTTTCACGAGCCTGCACGTAGGTACCACGCCTACCCGCGGGCAGGGATTGAACTCGTTAATACCCACTTGGGCAGGGAACATTCCCCTAAGATTTCAGCGTTCTAGCTTCTTGGATCCCCGAGTTATGAACCTACCCGGAAAAAACTTTGGCGGGCCCGTACACGGCTACCACGCTTACCCAGGGGATGGTTTTCAATGCATTAACGCCTAAATGGACGGGGAACATCTCCCTATGATTTCAGCGTTCTAGCTTCTCAGACCTCCGAGTTATGAACTTACCCGAAAAAAATTTGGCGGTCCCGTAAGCGGGAACACGCTTAACCAGGGGATGGATTTCAGTGTTTTAACATCTACTTGGACGGGGAATAACAGTGCTCTTCACATCAATGTTGGATCGATATTGGCAAGAGCTAAATCCGGGACCGCATTGGTCATTCTAGACTTCTGTCGAGAATAAGCTGTGGAAGGAGAGGGGAATATGGGGCTAACCGCTTTCCAGCTATTTTGATCAGTACTGCATTGTCTGGTGACCGGTGTGCTAGCAATCAGGTTTTTGTATCTCGAAAGAATTACCGGTTCAGTAGCTCCTCCAGTGGAAGCACTTGATGAGGATAGAGACATCTCGAGATGTCTTTAATGTGTATTGAGCGTCAAAGCATTGTCCTAAATGTTGTAGCTTAAGGATGTTGACGAACTGTTTTTGAAATGTGCGAGATTTTCGTGTGACACGAGAATTTTTTGATTGTTTAATTGTCATTTGAACACTTTTTAAAGATGACCATTTCTGTATCTCACCATTGTACTGCGTCACAATCTTTAATTAAGCTGAGCCTGTTCGATTCTAGATGCGATGCACGAACACTACCAGGAATTGATTAGAATACGTGAAGATTTGACTGACCTGGATCCTTTAGTAGCATTCGCCAAATGAAACAGACTTTTTGGAGTTCGCCATTCAAATAAAGGATTGAAATTGACCATTTTAAATGAATTTCTGCTTCGATTATTCGTGAATTTAAATTACATTGTATTCTGAGGTTTCTATGCGTTTTTTGCATCTCTGCAATGCACATTGACGAAAGGTTGTCTGTGTGTGCGTGTGTGTGAATGCCTGTGTGTCTGCGCGTCTGTGTGTGTGTGTGTGTGTGCGTGTATGTGTCGGTACCAGTTTTTATGCGTTTTTGCCGTGCAGCGCTAGAGCGCTGCAACAGGCAGCAAAAACGCATAT